ACCGGAAATTTTCAAATTTAGTAAGTCTTTTTGTAAGTCTTATGTAACAATACTAAGGTTTGTCTCAGGACTTTGTTTTTAGCCCTACTTGTGCAAAATGCACAGGTGGCATAAAGTGTTTGGTTGCTTTTCATTAATTATGCCAGCTGTATTTTTGTGAATCTGGAGCCATGCTAGCTTTGAAATGTAAGGCACAACTTTAAATGTTTGTGTCAAGCTGTATTTACCTGGAAATAATTTTTAAAATGGAATCTTGCTGTTGTTTTTGTTGTAAAGTCTTAAAATCTCCTTCTACATGTTCTCCAAATTAGGACTCCTATGAGCGAGCAAAGAACATCCTGAAGACTCATGCAAAAGAACACAAGAATTTAGCAGAAGCTTTATTGAAATATGAGACTTTGGATGCCAAAGAAATCCAAATTGTTCTAGAGGGGAAAAAACTAGAAGTAAGATGATGACTTCTGGGATATGTAACTGATAATTTGAAGAATGTACATCTAGCAATGCAGTAGTCTTATGCAGCATAGCCTTTTTTTCTCTTCCTGATGTGTGTATGGCATTAGTGTCACTTTAATATTAGTCTGTCTCTTGTGAGCTTTTGTTACTCATCTATTTGTTGTGTCTCATCAGAATAAGACACAAAATAAAGCAAGTTCCTCATCCTCTGCTCCTTATACTCTTCGCACAAGAAGTTATTCAGAAGGATAAATCTCAGGGTTGAATTCAGCATTTTGATTCAATCAATGTGTTGAAGCTGAGCAGAAAAACATGCAGATCCACTGGTTGTGTGTTGGCACAGCTTCCTGGGCTGTGCTGCTACATGTGTGTTTGAAGTGATACCTCACAATATGTGCTCTGGGGTGTTTTGGAGAGTGACAGACTGAGATGTAAAGCAATAGTATGTCATGTAGCTATTGCTCATACTCTGTTTGAGGTTAGAGACCACTGTTAAAGACTTCTTATTTAGAAATGTAACAAAACATCTCAAAGAATTAACAGGCTACATTGTGGGAGCACCATGCTAGACAAAAATGTTAGTGGTCATGTTTCCAGTACTCTTGGGGTTAAAATGCACACATGGGTGGCTGGGAGAGAATTACAACAACAGGCTAAATGTGTCTTAGCCTCTTTGGACCATGTTTGGGTAGAACCATAGCAGGGATAAGAGAAATACCTGTGACCTCTGATGTGCTGCTGACAAGTTTCTTAAAATTTTTGTTATTGCAGTAGGCAGATGACTGTGCTTTGACAGTGCTTTTACACTGCTGGAGAGTCAACAGAACTAGTTTCTATTAATACTATGTATGGCGTTTGATAATCCAACAGATAATCTCTTCAAAGGGGACAACATCACTCACTGAAAAGTAATTCAGAAAATGTTTGAAGCATGTGTTGTTGCAAATAACATTCCTAGTTCTGTTCTTGGTAGAAGTAGGGAAATAATACCTTTTCTTTCAACCCTTACAGAAACCTTGGGAAATTCTAAGAAAATACAAAAAAGGTTTTGAAAACAAGACTAGTTCCAATCAAGTGGAAGTGATGGCTAGCAACTATATGCCAGTATTCCTCCTGATCTCATGGAACTGGATTTTAGGAATAACACATATTGATCATAATCCTTCTGCACAATGAGCTGTAGTGTTGTGGGATTACAAGCTTCTATTGCACAGAGGGCATGTATCAGCATATTAATATTGAAGGTTACCATAATTGGACATGAAAATAGTTGGGCTGGTGCCAAGAAATGTGAATGGAAACTGATAGCTACACCTAAAACTAGAAGTAACATAGTACTTTAGAATTTTCTGAGTGTAATGCTTGATTATAACCTAGTTTTTTTAGTAAGAGCACATGCTTTTGGGTTTTTTCCCCTTTTAAAACAAGATCAACTTTCTTTTTTGCCTCTTTGTCAACTTACTATAGTGGCATCCCACTCAGTGTGGGAGAACTTCCAAATATTATAAAACGGTATAGGAAATGTCTAGGCTGACTAGTTACAGTTGTACATGTATTTTGGAAATATACCAATAGAAACAGAAGTATACTGCATATTTGACATCTGTTTTTGGAGTAATAAAGGTTAATTTTAATTATGCATATTGGTTTTCTTCTTATTCACTGTTAATCGCTATGAAATGTAATACGAAGTTCCCTAGTATGTAAATTGAGGTGTATAAAACATTTAAAATTGTAAATAAATTTAAGAATTATGGCAAAATTGCACTCTGTTTAAGTGAGATTTCTAGGGAATGTTTTCCCTAGAAATTCACACCTTTTTTCAATTGCTGCTTTAGTAGTAGGACTTTGAAGTGATCTTTTCCAGCTAAATAATGTGAATTTGCGTTTAAGAGAAACAAAAAAACTTTTTCTTGTTTGAAGTAACTAAAATCTATATTGAATGATCTTGTTTAGCAGGGTAAGTTCTTGAAGTCCAACTTTTCTTATTCAAAAGCTTCTTGCTATATGCATAGGATAGTATCAAAAAGGAAAAAAAAAGATGTATCATTGGATCATGAAAGATTATTACAAGTTCAGCCATAAAGTGTAAAGGGTATCTTTGCTTTCTGGCCAACTTAGCAGCACAAGTATTACTGAAGAGTTTGCTGTCATTCCTAGTTGGTTTTGTGCATGTAACATGTGTAACATATTCCAAGAAACTTGTCTGGTAACGCGTTGGATTTGATCGCTGGTGCTCTTGGGAGCACCTAGGACCTGGAATTTTTCCTTTCATATTGAGATAGGCAGAGATAGGAGAGCACGGGGTTGGGTTTATGTGGCATGGTTTTTGTAGTGAGGAGGCCACATGGGTGGCACCTGGGAGAAGATGCCAGAAGCTTCCCTGTGTCCAGTGGAGCATTACCAGACGGCTCTAGGAAGACCTGCTCCTGTCCAAAGCTGAGCCCATCAGCCCTGGTGGTAAAGCCTTTGGGACAACAAACTCAAAGAAGTGGAAGAAACTCTGCCCAAGAGCAACTGCAGCCAGAGGGAGAGGAGTGAGTGTGGGAGAAACAGCTCTGCAGACACCAAGGTCAGTGAAGGAGAGGTAGCAGGGTTTGAGTGAGATTCTTCTCGGCCTGAGGAGGGAGGAGTGGCAGAGGCAACCTGTGATGCACTGACCGCAACCCCAGTTCCTGTCCCGCCCCCACCCTGCTCTTACCGCTTGAGGGGGAGGAGGTAGAGAAAAGTGGAAGTGAAGGTGAAAACAGGAAAGAAGAGGGGTAGGGGAAGAGGTGGTGTTAAAGTTTGGTTTTATTTGTGATTTGATAGGGAACTAAACTAATTTTACCGACTCAAAACTGTTTTGCCCATGATGGTAAGTGGTGAGTGATCTCTTCCTGCCTTCATCTCAACCCACAGGCCTTTTCCTGTGTTTTCTCTTTCCTGTCCAGCTAAGGATAGAGTGGCTTTGGTGGGCTCCTGCTGTCCAGCCAGGGTCAACATAACACAACTATGAAAGCAGCTTCCAGAAATCAGTCAGAGAGGTGTTCCTTTAAGGACGAACAGCCTCCTGCTGTTGAAAACAGGGCAGAGCTAAGTGCTTAGATACACTGTTTGCTTTTTAAATACCTCTAAAGTGGTCACAAGCAGGGTGGCACATAAAAATACGAAATTAAAACTTGGACATAATTCTGAATTTTCTGTATTCCTGAGGCTGGCATGCCAGAATTCTCCCAGCAAGCTTAACACAAAGAAAATGCAAAGTTACAGTGAAAGTTGTGGCTGCTCCTTCTGACTGCTTCTTACTCTGATGACCTGAGTCAGCTGAAATGTCAGAAGAGTTTTCTAAATCTTAATCCTTTAAACTGGCTGTGAAGACAGAGCAATCAAGCCATCCCTAACTTTCTGGTCTATTGATCTGCTTGGCAACTTTGGCTAGAAGTAAGGAGGCCTATTTTTGCTTCTAAAAGATAGCCAAACAAAACAATGAGAGGTAAGAGTACATGTTTTAAATAGGCTGCTCTCTACTTCCCTCAGAAGTAAATTTCCCTTTTTCCAAATCCATTACTCACACATGTTTATTAAGAGGCCTTCCTCTGGCATTGGTCAACATGAGAGCATCATCTGCTCCTTCCACAGCATCATCAGTGCATAAATGGCTGCAACATTTGCCATTAGAGCACTAGTATGGACCGTGAAACATTTAATGGGAGAAGTGGGGACTCTAGCGCATTTGTTTTTTCATGAATCTAGGTTTGTGTTTAGTGCCCTGCTGGAAACTTAATGCTGCTAGCTGTAATTCTGAGATTCAGCATGGAGTTTTGACTTTGAGTTCAGGACCAGATTTCTTCTAAGATTAATAGTAGTTTTCAGTCTTTCACTACTTTTTCAAAAAGTGTTGTGGAGGTAACAGAAGGATCCTGCTCTGTATACTGAGTCTCATTAAATGGGCCAGAAGTTACAGGAAACAGAGGCAGACTCTGTCCCACTTGCTTAGTCAGAAGAAACCCTCCACAGCAGCAGATTTGGACTGAATGGTTTAATAAGTTCTACACCAATTTTTCCAGAATTACATCAGTTACCATCATTCACTTTATTTCCAATGGGTCATTCATGATATTGACAACAAATTATGAATTCACTTTTACCTTTTGTCCCTACAACTTAGAAGGCTACTTCTCTTACATTCTTAGCTCTTATTCAGTGAAAGCTCCTCAGGATGAACAAAATGGAATTTATGGGTTTACAGTTTTAGGACTGAGCTGCTTAAACTTGAGTTGCCTTTTCACAACTTAAATCGAGCTGTGATTCTCTCTAGAGAATTCTTGCCCTGTCATACCATGGCATGGCATCTCCCAGCGTGGTTACTCAGGAGGTCCATGCAAGTTCAATAACATACAGCACATCCTTTGCAAACTGCAGGCAACAGAAGCTACACACAAACTTTTTAAGGGTACCAGATGTTCAACCTTAGCTAGAAAACAGGACACCCAAAAAGGTTTTGAATAGAAAATGGGAGTCAGCTTGGGGTGAGTCTTCCCCAAGGTTAAAGGGCAGGTTAAGTTCTCTGTGGCCAGCAGTTAAAGCTCTGACTACTAACAGGCGAAACAACTAAGGCTGTACCCAGACTTGCAGGAATCTTTGAAGCTACTGCTCATCCACCTGAACCTTAACAAAGTACTGAACTCTTGTTCAAGTTGTCATCTACCATCTAAGCAGCTGGGAGATACACATACATAGACAATAAAAGGCAAAGAAATACATTTTGCCTATAAAATGTCACAGAAATTCTGCAGCTTCAAGAATGCCTTCACTTGACAAGAGCAGAAACTGGCTGATGGAGGTAAAGAAAAGCAGAGGTCACTGCTCATTGAGCCATGGCTTAGAGACATTTTACCTTAGGCAAGAGATGACTGCAAAGCTTATTGTTAAGAAATATGTCACGGAGAAGAGCGGGATCACACTCTTGGTATTTCCTTCAAACTCCTGTTGTCTGGACAGTGAGGTAAAATAAGTCACCTGCCGTTAAAACAACAAGAAACCATAAAGCACTTTTCCTTTTCTTGTTCTTTCTACACAAGGAAAAGGCAAGGTCAAACATGACGTTGGCAGAGGAACAGTGCCCTGGCACTCGCAACCCGCTCGTCTTCGTCCGCCACCGTCCCTTTCCCTTTCCGCAACGGGGCTGCCCGGACATTTCGGGCTCGGCGGCTCCGCACGGCCGTAGCCGGCCCCTGCGTTACCTGAACGGAGCCGAGGCGCAGCTCCGCCACTTTGGAAGTGATGCTCTGCAGGAAGCTCTCCAGCCACTGCCGGCTGTCCTGCGCCTCGGGGCCGTCCTCCCGCAGGTAATACACCAGCTTCAGGGCCCTCGCCCTGAGCACCCGCCCGCCGTCCGTCTCCACGCCGCCCAGCGCGGCGCCCAGGAAGACGCTGCCGTTGACGGGGAAGCGGAGGCTCCCCGGGGCGGGCGGTCCCGCATCGCCCCGCCGCGACAGCAGCGGGTTGGGGCTGGCACAGACGCCGGCGGTGCGGGCGCAGAGCCGCTCGTACTCGGCGTCGTGCACGGCGGCGTTCAGCCGCAGCACCTCTGCCCACGCCGCCGGCTCCAGGACCGAGGTCCCGTTCGTCGCCACAGCGATGAGGGCGGCGTAGGCGCCCTCGGTGGGCAGCCGCGGGGCGGAGAAGCGCTCCGAGTCGTCGGTGGGGAAGTGCCGCCGCACGAAGTCGCGCTCGGCCTTGGCGGGCCCCCACGTCGGCGTGAACTGCCCCTCGATGTCGTTCGCCTGCCGCCGCGGTAGGAAGAGGAAGCCGGCGCCCAGCCCGCCCGACAGCAGCAGCGGCACCAGCACGAAGGGCCAGGGGCAGGCGGCCACGGCGCTCGCCAGCCCTTCGAAGAGCCGGCGCAGCGGCCGCTCCACGCAGTTGGTGTTGCGGCAGGAGCAGCGCTCCGCGGGGTCCCGCGGCCCCGCCATGGGCGAGGCGGGCACGGGCTGCCGGCAGCAGCTGCTCGCCGCGGGCGCGTCCCACGCCGGGGCCCGACGGTGCGGTGTGTGCCGGTGCCGGAGCAGAGGAGAGAGCAGAGAAAGAGGGAGGGGAATTCAGAGCCACCCTCTGCCCGGCAGAACCTCGGACCGCGTTTTTCAGCGGGCGGAACCGCCCCCGCCGTGACTCAGCGGGGCTTCCGCCGCCTGCCTGGACTGACAGTGGGAGCCGGGCGGGCAGCCCAGGCTCCCCCCGCCGCGCACCGCCCCAGGTTCGTGTCCTCCCTGCCCTCCTTGTCCCCACCCTGCCCTCCGTGTCCCCCCCTGCCCTCCGTTTCCCCCTGCCCTCCGTGTCCCCCCTGGCTCTGGCTCCGCGGGTTCCAGCCCGTTTGCAGCGCCTGCCGCGCTGAGCCGCTGCCCAGCCCAGCTTTGGCTCCGTGATGACCCCGTCGCTTCCCGGCACGGCCCCGTGCTTTCCTTTCAGCCTCTAGACGTCATCGGCTTTTTTAGTGTTTTCCCCGAAGCTGCTACTTCACTACTATGCATTATTTTTCCATCTAAGAGCAAAACACAGACAAGTGGTGATGTGTATTTCTCAGTGTACTGGTTTGGAAAACGGGAAAGTGACAGCAGAAGAAATAAAAGACTTTGAAACAAGGGTTAGCCATTCCAATTGGCAAGTCACAAGAATATCCTAGTGATATGCCAGAGCTTTATGCAGTAGCAATGATAGAAAGAATCTTTCCAAGTCCAAAAACTGTCCTGCAGCCTGGTGTTCTTGACACTGGTGACAGTGATTTGAGTGGTTTCCGGCTGAGAAGAACATTTAAGCTCAGATGTGACAGTGCTAGAGAGGTGTCCAGATAATATGTCACAGACAGGCACTTCTCCTTGCCTTTGAGAGGAGCAACTCTGTCCTCTCCTGCCAGTACTTGCAGAAAAGTTATAGGTATTTCTTCTCTCCCATCTAGGGAAGAGAGGCTTGGCACCTGTGAGTATAAAAGAGCCAGCCAGGCTCAGAGCAAGGTTGTATATCTCCTGCTACACTCAGCACCTAGGGCAGGTTGGATCCTGGTGATTCCTTTTGGCAGTAGCTACCCAGTCAGAGTACCCACTGGGCACAGGCCAGTGCCTTTAGGTAAACTCTGAGGCTGGGAATCTGCCTTACAGCATGGAAAGACAGTTCCACCAACTCTCAGTTCAGAGTGGTGTTCAGGCAGGTAGTGCATGCCAGTCTTCTCCAGAATCTGAATGCTTGTCCTTGTTCCCTGGCCTATTCATTCACTTTATATTAGGTTCTAATAAGAAAAAAAAATGCTCCTTGGGGCAGGGCCAGGAACTGGTCATAGGACTTCCAGTAAATCAAAGTTTCTGGTATTTTTTGGATGAAGGCACAATCTCTCTTTGTTGTTATGTTGCATGTGCTGGAAGTTTCAAAATGACATTCCAGTGAATCACCGTTTGGCTTCCCTTCCTTCCTTCCTTCCTTCCTTCCTTCCTTCCTTCCTTCCTTCCTTCCTTCCTTCCTTCCTTCCTTCCTTCCTCTTGTATAGTACCTCAAGGACTAACTCTCCAATTTCCATGCCAAGTGTACAATAAAACTTTGATTTTTTGCAGACCATCTAACTTTTGTCATTTCTTTCAACCGTGAGCATTTATGAATCTTGGCTGCTCCCTTCACCTTAAGGGTGTGCCATCCCTTTTTTGGCATCATGGGCAGGACGCCATACCCATGAATTCCAGACAGGTAGTGATGGGAAGAATATAAGGTGTGCCCAACTCCCCCAGGCACAGTACGTGCAAATTTGAATAGCCCTGACGCAGGGCTTAAATGGATAAATGTGGTGTTTAAGTAAAAGGTATGGAAGGGGAAAAGTAAAGCAGTTTTATCTGCTGGTTTTTGCCCAAAAGGAGAGGTATGCTAACAAATAGGCAGGGGGAGAAATGGCTGGATCTCAGCGGGGTTTGGTGAAAGGACTGCAGGATCAGTTGAATGAGAGAAGAAATAGCCTTCGGTAGCAAGAGTTGCCAGCTGCCGAGTGCGATAGTGAAAGGGAGAGCAGGCTGCTCGCTGCTGGGCGCAGTCAGCAAAAGGAAGAGGGGCTGCCGGCCGACGCGCTGCTCCGAGCGCTCCAAGGGGCTGCAGGCACAGGGGCTGCTCGCGGCTCAGCTGGGAAAGGGACAGTGAGCACAGAGGGAGGCAGTGCTTGCGGAGCGAGATCGGGAAAAACAAAAGAGGAGGCACTGAGAAGCGGATGTCAGCTTCTCATTCTGCAATTGAAATTCACATGAAAACATTCTGTGTTTTGATGTTCCGTGCCTTTAACGGCTGCAGAGCTAAATTTTACAAAACTGATAAGGCAAATTCAGAGAGCATCCTACTTGTGAAGGGCAACTGTAATCGCAGGAGCCATCCACCAAAAAGCTGAAACTGTAGTATGCAAGCAAACTTGCTACAGTAGTATGGCAAGCACTTAATGAATTGAAAGTTGAGATTCTACCTGAGGAATGTCAAAGCCAAACTGTCTCTGACAGACCAAAGCGATCTTTACTATTCAACTCAGCTGCATTTAAAGAGACAGAACAGAGATATCCTGAGTGGGAAAAAGGACTTTTCTGGACTAACCCCTCCAGGACTCATATTGTTTTCTCTTCCCAGGAATTATACTGGTAATGGTGCCATGCATCTGCACTGAAGATCAAGCTAACCATCGAAGCTTATCCTTGCAGGCTCAACTCAGCTGCATTTAAAGAACCTGATATCCTGAGATATCCTGAGTGGGAAAAAAGACTTTCTGTCTGGACTAACCCCTCCAGGACTCATATTGTTTTCTCTTCCCAGGAATGATACTGGTAATGATGCCATGCATCTGCACTGAAGATCAAGCTAACCATCGAAGCTTATCCTTGCAGGAGCAGTCATTGCCCGCATGAACTAAATTTGGTTCACACATAAACAAACTCGACCCACAAGGTGGAGGCCCTCTGTGAGGAGCCAATTCAGTTTTGTTATGTCTCGCCAATGGTTGTCAGGAGCACGTGGGGGAGGCAGCTAGGAGAAGATGGAGCAAAGCCTTATCTCTAGGGAGACTTTGCCTGGCCAAGATGTCATGCCTCATATGGGACAGGCAGTCATCAGGGGAACACCGAAGATGCTGTACCCCAGAGACACTCTCCAGTCAGATGGCACAAGGTCTGTGCCAATGGACTGCAGTGGGACATTGGACTGCACCAATGGCCTCCTGTCACCACACGGTCTTTGGGAGGGGCCAGGGCCATAAAAATAACTGCATCACAAGCTTTGGGGGCTCTTTGGAGGCTGTGTCCTTTGGCTTTTGATGCTCTTTGGGGGCTCTTGCTCACCCTCGTGTCTGTCCTGCCTCCCTGTGTCCCTGACCGACGTTCTGCCTGCTTCTTCTCCGAGTCCCTGCCTGAGCCCCCCGCACCTCGTGTCTGGCCATGGCCGCAGGGCTGTCCCCAGGCAGGCAGCGGGCACTGCCCCTGCCTCGGGGATGTCGAGGGCGCTCCCCGACCTCCGGTGGTAATGTGTCCAACCCTGCCTGCCTCTGAGCCTGCCCACCTGTGATCCTCATAGCAATCCTGTCCAGGATCTGCACCTCCTGCCTGAGCGCCCCGCACCTCGTGTCTGGCCATGGCCGCAGGGCTGTCCCCAGGCAGGCAGCGGGCACTGCCCCTGCCTCGGGGATGTCGAGGGCGCTCCCCGACCTCCGGTGGTAATGCCCCCTTTTCCCCTGTGTGTCTCCTTGTTGAGGCGATCCTCCCACGTGTGACGACACGAGGCTTGACTCCATTTTTCTCAGAAGGCTGATTTATTATGTTATATATTATATTAAAATACTACATTAAAACTATACTAAAAGAATGGAGAGAGAAGAAGGATCAGAAGGCTACAAAGAACAAGAAAGAATAATAATAGAATGCATAACAAAAATCCTGTGACTGCTCACAGCCTTGGCACAGGTGGCTGTGATGGGTCACCAATTGAAAACAATCCACATGGACCAATGGAAGATGCACCTGTTGCATTCCACAGCAGCAGATAGTTATTGTTTACATTTCTTTCCTGAGGCTCTCAGCTCCTCAGGACGGGAAAAATCCTAGCAGAGGATTTTTCATAAAATATCATGGCTACATCTCCTCTCTCTCTCTCTCTCCCTCCCATCCTTCTTTCTTTCTCCTGCTCTGTCTTCTCTAGCCCTCTTTAGTAGGGTAACTCCTTTTTATTTTTCCCTTTTGTTACCAACAAACGGTTCTCAGATACAATGTTTGCCTCGTTTGGCTTAATATCATTCCTGACCATCTATTTTTAAAAGAACACCTTGTAGTTTCCCACATTGGAACACAAAACTGTCACTTCTTTATTTGTGCTAATCAGTATGGCAACTCTAGTATGTTCTGCACCACAAATGCTTCTCAGTTGTGGGTGCAATTTACTGTGGCAGAAATTATAAAGGAGATCAAAGCAATTTGCCCACTGAAATTCAAAAGGTAACTTGACATAATGCAAGTAGATTTAAAAGGGAATTCCACTACTGGTGTTACCTATTTAATTTCATTTATAACCCAACGAGCAGTAAAGGCACAATTTTTGTTTTAACAATGCATAATGCTATGGTATATACTATATACCCAATCATTGTGTCAGAATTAAATCACAGCAGAGCTGAAGCCTACCCCCTGGAAAACAGAGTATGGGAGGGAATACTCTGAGGGAATGGATGTGCCTGCATGAGAACCTATTGTGACTTTGTGCTTGTAAACAACCTTATGATAGATTCAAGTAATCACTGTTATATTTGTGTAACTTTGTTGAAATTATAAGATGTGATTTTATTATTCATCTCCTGTTGTACCTTATCTATTGTTATGATTTAATTATGCACTTATTGTTATGATTTAATTATGCACCTATTGTTATGATTTAATTATATATAAGTGCTAGAGCCTACCCCTATTGGTATCAATCTTGCCTTGATGAGAAAACTCCTATTGAAGCAAGCACAAGAGAAAAGACAAAGGACTTTGATTCCTGTTCATCATCATGTGGAAGAAATCCACTCAGTGATGGTGCAAGTGTGGAAAGATGGGGACCTCCATTGGTGGGACATTTTACTTGGATGGTCAAACAAGCTGATAGATACTTGACATGCCTAAGAAGAGAGTTGACAGGGATAGCTGGTGCCCCACATTTAAGTGGGTTGTTTTTGCCTCTTTCAAGGTCTGTGGGGACACAGCCCTATAATCAAATAAGTGGCCTTATCTCTAGGTGGTGTCAGACTATGCCTGACACCGTCCACCTGAA